AGGGTTCTCTGGTGCACCATGTCTGGAGGCCCCGGATCTTCCTCCCTTGGCCTCTAGGGCACCTGAGCCTGGCATGGTGGTCCCTCCTGCTACACTGGATTTGATCCCTTGTCTTGGGTCCAGCCCTGCCCAGCCTCCCCAGGCGTTCCATCCCTCCTGCCCTGCCCCATCAAGACTGCAGACCCAACACGCTCGGCTTCTCCCTGCCTCCAGCTTCTGTCCTTCCACCCCTGCCAGGGCCTGCTGGGGAGGTCCCTTGCCATCAGCCTCCATTGCCTGTCTCCCAGCCCCCGACTCAGCAACCGTGGGGCACTGGGAAGCACCTGTGAAATAAACCCCTGGACCCTGGTCGAAGTCCACTCCCCCAACTCCTGGACTCAGAGAGCTCAGCAGAGCACATAGGACCACAGCTGGCCTGGGCTGGCCCCTTGTCCTGCAGGTTTCTGGTGTGGGGAAGGGCTTACGGAGGAGCAGGGCTGGGCCAGTGCAGGAGGCCCTGGGGTGCAGAGTGGGGACTGCTGCATCAGGGAACCCAGGGGCCCCGGTTCCTTGCCCAGCAGGCTTGAGATGGGCCTGTGCTCCTCCCTCCCTGCACTGGGCAGGCTTCCTGCCTGGCCCCGGGAAGTGGCCCCCCTGCGCCCCCACTCCAGACAGGTGACGTCAGTGTCTGAGATAACAAGGCGGTGCTGCTGGCGTCTGCGCCAGCGTGTGCCCACTGTAATCTGGGCTGTCTGGGCACAGGGTCCACCTTGGCTTGGTGAAAAGCTGCCCTCGAAGTGGGCCCGGCGGGGCCGAGGAAAACGCGTCTGCAGGCCTAGGTGGGGCATGCCCGTGCGGCTCTGCCTCACTCACCCGTAGATCCGTGTCCGGACTGAGCTGTTCTTACCGGGGCACAGGGCACCTGAAGCCTGGCAGGGCGTGCAGTCTGTGGGTGCCCAGTAAATGTGTGGATGAGCAAAGGAACACTGCACGAATTAGTGAGGCTGAAAAGCAAGATGATTTTGAGACAAGAGAGGCAGGACGGGATGCTGGGCCCCTCGGCACACACAGCCCAGCCCCCACCCTGCCCCCACCCAGGCCAGCTTGGGGCAGCCCATCCTCCAGGCCCTGTCACTGCAGGGGCCTCTCTTATGACCTGGCTCTCCCTGACTTGGCCCAGCCAGGGCACTTGGGCACAGGACTGCTCAAGAGAGCGGGGCCTCCCTTCCTCAGAGCCCACTCCAGTCTCCTCCACTGGCCGGGGCAGGCAAGGGAGCAGTTGCTGGAGCTGCGGCTAAGCGGGTGACGGGCACTGTCCTCAGGCAAGGTGGGGGTGTGGCTCCCGCTTGGCATCCTCCACTAGGGCTGCGGTGAGAGGCGTGGCCAGCAGGTGAGCTGGCAGAGGAGCGTGTGGGTGCACCCAGCCCAGCAGCCTGTCCCCGAGGGCACTTTGGCACCCAGGTGCTGCTCTTCGTCAGAGGGTGCCCTGTGCCAGCTGGCAGGGCCAGCATAGGGATGTTTAATTTACATACACTTCACAAGGGATGTGGCAGGCTGAGGAGCCATTGCCAAGGGCCAAGACCTGGGGACTCACCACAAGTGGGGGCCAGCAGCTCCTGAGGACCCCAATGCCCCGTGGTGGGAGGGGGTCACGGGGAAGGTCCCAGAGAGCAGTGCTAGGCACATTGGTGTGTCTGGGCCAGTATTGACCTTAAGGAAGGTGGGCTGGGGTCAGCCAAGCCACTTCTTAGAATCTGGGGATATCAAAGAGAACATAGCTGGCCTGCTGTGCCCAGTGCCTGCCAGAACAGGAGACAGCAGGGGCGGGCCAATGGCACCTCACCTGCCCAGGGCTGCAGGTGGGGGCAGGCAGCAGCCACCAGGAAAGAAGGGGGAGTGAGCAAGGGAGATGGGCTGAGACCGGCGGGAGCTCTGGGTTTGGGATAAGCTCGGCCACATCCTTGAGGAGAGTAAGGAATCCCTGTCCCAGCTGGACCTGGGTTTCTGGTCACGTTCAGGCACCCTGCAGTCCAGCCTCCCCTCCAGGTGCCCTCCCTGGGCAGGAGGCTCTGACTCACCCTCACAGTCACTGGGCATTCAGGGAGCAGGCTCCTGCCTGCAAGGAGCTCCCTCTAGAAGGAGAAAGATTCCGAAGCAGACAGGGATGGGCAGGCCGTGTGGGGTGAGGAGGAGGCACCCCCACTGGGAGGATGGGGAGCTTCCTGGAGGGGCCAACGCAATGTGAATGCTCATCCGTCAGATGGCTGTGGAGGGGCAGAATCCAGGAGCGGTGCTGGTGGGGCCAGTGGGGGTGAGGACTGGGCAGGATGCTCCTGAGCTGGCTGCGGAACCTGGAAGCCTTGCTCCCAGGAGGTCTGATGCCCCTGCCTCCTGCTCCTGTCCTTGGTAAGACGTCCATGGTCCTGGGGTGCCCCTGCCCACCATCCGTCAGGGACCCCCAGTGTGCACCTGCCACAAGAGACAGAGGGTCTCCCCTCCCCATCTGGCAGTAAGTCTGCCTCTGCGAGGTTGAATTTTCAGTTTTCAGGTTCCCCAGTTCCCCCAACACCATCAGAAAGGCCCTGTGCTGCTTCCAGCCCAGAGGGGCCTTCCTGCCCCTCCGATCTGGTCCCACACCCACGGCCCTGCTGGAGCCGAGAGGCTCCTCTGGGGCTTCTGGCAGCATATGAGGGGTTTGCATCCTTGGTTTGGGGGCTACACGGGAGGGCAAAGGGGCTTCCACTGCTGGCCCTCGGAGGTCCCTCCCGGGTCAGCGTTTCTCTTTCTCCAGGGGCCCTTCCTGGACTGGACACTCCTTTGGTTTCAGAAATGAAGGGACATTTTGGAAGGCACTGGCACAGTGGGCTGGAGTAGGAGTGGTCACTAGGGAACAGCATTTCTGAAGGCTGGAACAGCATGCATGCAAGGACGAGGGGGAGGGAGGGGCCCGGGGCCCAGAGGCCCCGTATGTGAGGCTGGCGGGTGTCAGAGCCATAGGGGAGAGAGGAGGGTGAGGGCCTCGCCTCAGATCCCCCGGCAGCCTTGCTGGATGGCGAGGTTCTCCCATGTTGCAGACCAGCACCTGACACCGGGGCCTTCCTTACCCGAGGTCACAGAGTTCAGGCTAGCAGGTGTGCCGCCGGACCTGAGGCAGCCTCTGTGGACAAAGGGAGTCAGGGATGCTGGAGGCCTGTCCCGGGTTTATGCTGCTGTCTCACTCTGGACCCTCGTCCAGAGCCTCCTCCATCCCCATCACTAGCTTCTGGTGCAGAGCTCGCCCAGGGAGGCATTGCACAAGCTGACCTCCTTCTGCCCTGGCCTGGACCAGCGCGGGCCAGAGTGGGGAGGGCCAGGGGAGCCGTCCAGGCCAGAACCTCCAGCCCCTGCCGGTGCAGCTTGCCCGGCCCTTCAGCGGCTGCATCCTCTGCTCTATAAAGGCACATTCCTGAGGCTGCGGGTTAGCGGCCCCCCTCGGTGGTGCATTAATGAAGAAATGGAGGCTGGCCTTGTGTAACCGTGACAGCAGGCTCACAGCAGCCAGGGAGGGTGCGGGCCCTGGGTGGGGAGGGCTGGGACGTGGCCCTGCCCTTGGTCCCCACCCGCCTGACCCCCAAACTCACGGTCTGTGGCCGCGGCAGGCCTGAACCCTCCCAGCCTCCCCCGCAGTGGGAAGCCCTGGGCTAGGCCTGCACTCAATTTGTCCTGAGTGAGTGTGTGTGTTTACTCTTCATCACTGAGCCTGTGCGTAGTGCGTTAGTTCCTGATGTAGTAAACATTTTGGAAGGCCAAGATCCTCTCCTTCCTGTCTCTGTGCCAGTGAAATTCCTCAACACCAGCTTGTCCTTGGTGGAGCGCCGGAGTTCATCTTCCTGAGAGGAGATTGGGAGGGGGGCTCCTAAAGCCTCCCATTGGCGCCCCCAAGGCCTCCCCAGCTCCCTGGGCCTCCCCATCAGTGCTGCTCTCCTCTGGGCCAGGCAGTGCCTCCCCATGCCTCCTGCAGACTGGGCCGTACACGCGGGCAGGAGGGCCGTGGTGTGCGCATGCCCCAGGCTCAGAGCCTCAGCAGTTGCAGCAGGAAGTCCCTGCATTCGAATCCCAACTTGGTTTCTTAAAGCTGCTTATTCTGGGCCAAGGAATCTGCCTCTCCAGGGGAGGCCCGTAGGCAGTGGAGACTGCAAGCTGCCTGTGAGCTGGGCAGCTTCCTGTGGAGAGGGCATTTCACAGAGGGCTGCGGAAGGGTTCTGGGGAGGACCTGGGGCTGCTTTGCGGCAGATAGCCTGGGAGGCACACAATTGAGGGGCATGCTGCCTTGGTGGGACAGCCTGGGGTGGCACAGCTTTGGGGGTGCCGACTTGGAGCTGTAGACTTGGGGTGCAGGGGTAGATCTAAGGGGTAGGCCAGGGCAGGGTTGCTATGGCCAAAAGTCACCTGCTGTGCCCTGAAGCAGGCCCTGGCTGCAAGGCCCTCTGCGGGACATGGGCTGGCATCCCACATGTCATAGCTATGTGTGCTGACATGCAGGGCCTGTCACCCCCATCTCATTGATTCTCCAAAAGACTGGGAGATGTGAGGGGCGGAGAAGGGGAAACTGAGGCAGAGAGCAACCAAACAGTGCTAGTCAGGACGGTGGGGGCCTGGAGCCAGCAGCCTGTCCCCACCCTGAGCGGCTTCTGCAGCATTGCAGCCTGGCCTGGGACAAGGTCACCCAGATGCTGTGTGTGGTGTGCACGCTGGCGTGCGCGTGCGGGTACAAGCATGTGTGTGCAGGTGTGTGTGCGCACGCCTCGGCCCAGGAACCGGGCTGTGCTTCTCACCCAGCTCTGTCTGCACAGCTTCTATTTTCTTCTACATGTCTGGCATTTTTTGCTGCTGAGTTGGGGGGCCGTGGTTTGGGGGAGGCTGGGCAGTGGGGGAGGGGCTGTTTATGCCAGTTGTTCACTTGGGCCGCACATTCTTGTGGTTATCTCTTTAACTTGGTAAAAATTCGGGAAATTTCTAAATAAAACAAAACAAAGGAAAAACATTTGCAAAACGATTTCAAAATCAGTGATGCCACTTCCCCCAGCCACCAGACCTGCAGGGCCCAGGAGATGCTTGTGTGAGGAGGGGTCTGGAGGTGGAACTTTCTAGCAAACAGCACCTTAGAACAGCGTTGTGCTGCAGAGGGCTGAGCTCCCTGTCGGGAGGAACATGGACGCCTTGGGGAGCTGTTGGGCTGTCCGGCTGAGACCTGGCCTTCTCTAGAAGGAATCAGGTGTTAGAGGAGAGTCTTCACAACAGCTTTGGGTTCTGGTGGCCAGGTGAGGGGTGCTGGACCCCACTATCTGAGACCCGTGGGTCTGAGGGTCTGAGGGAGCTGGGTCAGGGCTGCTGGGAGGGGAAGTGCAGGTGAGAAGAGAAAGGGGCTCTTGGCCTCTGGGGACCCATGGGCAGGTGTGCGCTTGGTGAGGGCAGGTCTGGGGCTGACTGTCGACTGCTGTGTTCTTGGTGTCTGGCCTGGGCTGGTCAGAGAAGGTTCTGGAATGTCTTTGTTGACCGGGGAGCTATAAGGGGGTGTTGGAGGTGGTTCTGTGGGAATGACCAGCAGTCATCAGTCCAGTGCGGTCTGGAGGGCTGGGCCAGGGACTGAGCGAGGGGTCCTTGTGGGATGAGGAAGCGTGGGCTGCTGGGATAGGGGCTGGAGAGGGAGGCTGAGGTGGGCCTTGGTCTCCCACAGGGTGATGTGGCATCCACGTGGGGCAATGTGGGGTCCAAGCCGCCCTTTGGCCCCCAGGCTTTTTCCTGTTCCATCCTGGCTGCACCTCTGAAATGCGGGGAGCAAGGAAGGGGGCCCCCATATGTGCCCAGGTAGCCTGGGCAGACGGCCCCACTGGACACCTGTCCCTGGGCACATGGAATGTCCCTGTGTGCCTGGGTGCTGGGGAGGGGCTGGGCATGGAGCCCTGGGAAGCTGCTCCTGGCCGTCAGTTTTCCACTCTGTGCAGTGCCCAGTGGGACTCCAGCCCCATTCTGGCCTGTCTTTAGACCACCAGGCCCTGGGGCTCGAGGCTGGGGAGTGACAGCTGCGGGAATAGAGAAGCTCTGCCTCCGCTTGACGTGGGGCCCCCTACTTAGTGGCATGCTCTGGTCTGGTCCCTGGGGTCCTAGGATGAGCTGACCAGTCAGGGGCCATGTCCTTTTGAGGATGTCCATCCACACCAGGGGCCCAGGGCACAGGTGACCCTGCAGTATCCCAGGCTGTGCAGATGGCATGTTCTCAGGGACCGTGGTCGTGACCAGGCACTGGGCTGTGCAGGCACCACTCCTGTCCTTGCCTCCTGCTCTGGGGACCTCACACCCTCGGCCAGGCCCAAAGCCCCGAGTCAGTCCGATTGTCTCAGAAGAGCCCAGGAACCCTGTGAAGTATGCAGGGGCTCCTTTGGGGTTTCACCTTTCCATGTCATAGTCAAACCCTCTGTTTTGTTTGCCAGCAGAGTTTTTAGCTTGTGACGGCTCCCAGCTTCCCTCTAGGATCCACATGCAAGTGTTGGTATGGAGCCCAGTAGCTGCTGGGAACTCCTGGGCCATCCAGCTCAGGGCTGTGCCGGCCAGCATCCAGGCTAGCCTTGGGTACTGCTGCCATCCTCCTCCATGCCTGGCAGCTCGGGGCCCAGGCTTTGAGAGGCCACAGACACCTACCATAATCCCAGGAGAGTGCCTGGGGCCATGCGTGGGAAGCTTTCTGGGCCAGGTGCCACAGGAACTCCACGAGTTTCCAGCCAGCGGTGTGCCAGGCGGACGATTTCTGACATTCAGATTTCTGACGATTTCTGACCTCAGCTTCTGATATCGAGCTTCTCGTACGGAGGTTCCTCCTTGTCCTGGGCACGCGTCCTTCATGTTCCTGTCTCTGCCTTTTGCCCACACCCTGAATTCCCCTCTCTGCCATGTGACCTCCCTCAGAGCCCTTGTCTTCCTTGTGGAGCCACATGCCAGCCCATGGGGCACTGTGAGCTTTTGGAGACAGAATGTCATCATCTGGGTGTGTGTAGCTCTTCACTGTGGCCGGCAGGGAGCTCCTCTTGGGTGAGTGCAATTCTTATCACTGTGGCTGGCAGGGAGCTCCTCTTGGGTGAGTGCATGGTGAGTCCTGCTAGTTGTTCAGTCATGGCCAGGCTGGTGAGTGGGGTGCTGCTCCAGGCCCCCCAGGGTTCCCCAGCACCTTCAGTCCCAGTCCAAGCTCTGTGGGCTTGTTCTCTGGGTCCTCACCATACTGCCTGCTCCCTTGGCCCTCCTCTCTGACATCCACACACCCAGGCTCCTGCATGCTGCAAAGCACAGCACCTGGCCACACCTTGCCTTTGCTGGGCCGGCCTCTCTGTGAGAAGCGCCACCTCCGTTCCTCCCTGCTGCATTTCCATACCCAGCTCAAATGTCAGCTCTTCTGCATGACTTTCAGACCTTCCCAGGGACTCATTTTTTCCCTCCTCCATGGTTTCAGTCCATCTCAAGGGACCTAATTCAGCAGCCACCATGCTAGGCCCCTCCCACATACCATCGCCTTAATCCCCACCAGAGGTGGGGCTGTCACCATCAAGTCAGGGGACCGGGCTAGGGTTCAGCCCCTTCCCCCATCGCCCAGCCAGTAAAAGCAGGAGATGGTGCAGGGCCCAGCCCCAGGAGGGGCCAGGTGGGACCTGTTGCAGTCACAGCCTCACCGCCCACTGGGGAGGAAGCCAGCCTGGAAGCCAAAGCCTCAAACCGCAGGCAGCAGCTCTCACAGGGAGGCTGGCAGCCACCACCTGGCGGGGCCCCAAGCTGCTGCCTGGCTGAGCCAGGGGCTGCTCCAGGCACACTCTGGCCTTGGCTCCCATCCATCCTGCCGGCAACCTCCTCCCCAAGGACCCGGTTGGGAGTTTCACTGGCCCAGCCCTCCTCAGAAGACTTACCAGGTGAGTAAGTTACTGCTTGCATCCGGCAGCCTCCTGCTGACCAGGAGCCTCCCCAGCCTCCCCAGAAGCTTCCCTTGTTTGTACCTTCATCCATGGCCTTAGCTCCTGCTTGCTTAGGGCCAGGGTGGCTGCATAGGGGATGGGTAGCCTTGCCTGGGCCCCAGGAGCTCCCTGGGCAGCTGGCAAGGGCTCAGAGTGCCAGTCAGCATGGAGCTGGAAGGCAGGACCCCAGGCAAGGAGTCAGGGTGGAGGAAATAGGGTTGACGGAGCAGGGGCTTGCAGGAGGGACTGGATGGACTGATGGGGGCAGCAAGGGGGGATGAGCCAGTCCCAGGCTGAGAAGTCCCCAGGCAGGGGCTGGGACAAGGCTGGGGCTACTGGAAGGAGACAGTGGGGCTTGTCAAAGCTGCCTGGCCTCCCACCTCCCCTGAAGCCCCCAGGGAAGCCTCAGCTCCTGCCATCAGGATGGTCTTCCAGGGACCCCAAGGCTTGGCATGGGCCAGACTCTTGGCTTTTGCTGCTTCTGCTGCCTTCTGGGAACTGTCTCCCCTCTGCCCCAGGCAGACCGATTGCCTGTGCAGTGCTGCTGGAAGGCATTCCTCAGTACTCCAGCATGAGCCTCAGTTCCCCCTTCTAAATTATGAGCATCTCGGAGTTGCTAGCGGGTGAAGGCTGTCATGTGTGGACCCCTGACATCATACCCAGCACACGACGGAGCCCTGGCAGCTCTCAGCAACCGTCCCACGTATCACCTGGGTGCTTGGCAGGCAGACTCTGGACCCTGGGCCTGAGAGCGTCCACTGGTCAGCCTGCAGCAAGGCCAGTTGGGCGAGGTTCTTATGCTCCACGAGGAGTGCGAGGTACTCCCACCGTGCACTGTTCTACCCATCCCCAAAGGACATGGGCCCCAAAGAGGGCTCTGCCTGCCCTTCCTGAGCTGCTGGCCCCAAAGGCGCACAACGCGTCACTGCCTCCCTCTGCTGTCTCAGGCTCTGCGGCCATCTCTGCACCTGCTGTGCCCCAGGCCTGAGCTGCTGGCTGGGGTGCAGCCGGGAGAGGACACAGATCCCCGCTGTCCCGTCCTGGAGGCCACATTCCCGTGGGCTGACAGGGATGAACAAAGTAAGGCTGCAGAGTTCCAGCTGTGATGACAGAGACACGAGTGATGTACCCGCCAACCCAGGAGCTCCAGCAGCCCCGGAAGCTGGAGGAGGCAGGAGGGAGCCCCCCTGAGCCTCTGGAGTAAGCCCAGCCCTGTATTTCTAAATCCTGCCCTCCAGAATCGGGACAGAACCCATTTCTGTTGCTTTAAACCACCCACTTTGTGGCCCTGTGTGATAACTGCAGAGCAGGTAGGTGCAGAGGAAGCAGGTGAGGTGGGAGGGTGGGTGGGAGCAGAGGGGGCTCCAGCCCCTGCTCATCCTTTCAGGGCCCCTCTAGCTGCTGTCAGAGCATGGACACAGGGCTGGGCAGGGCTGACCTGGCTGCCAGGTGACCCTGGAGGCCACCTGCTGGTTCTGGGGTGGCCAGGCCCAGCGGAGGGGAAGCCAGCTGGGCACAGGGCTGGAGAGCCGGACGGGGCAGGCCCTGTTTTCCTGCCCGGGGCTGTGCCACTCGGCTGTGCTCTGTAATTTGGGACTGGGGCCAGCACGCCCAACTTCAGATGGGGGGTGCACCTGGTAATTACAGCCTGGGGGCCAGCTCCCAGAATCCAAGCCCCTTGTCCCACCTCCACCCACATGTGAGGCCTGCAGGTCACCCGGTGGCCCCTCCAGAGTGTCACTCCGTTCACCCTTCTCAAGCCCCTCAGGGTATCAGATGTAAAATAGCAATAATAATAATTAAGCAAAAATTCAAGTAATTCATTGTAGGTAAAAAAATAAATGAACCAAGCCCCTCCAGAGGTCGTGCTGTAGGCTGTGCTGGGGCCCAAAAGCTGACCAGAAGATGTGACAAGTCACAGCTTCCAGGATTGTGGGGGCAGCCTGAGGGCTCTGGGGCCTGAAGGATGGGAGGGGCTTTCCTGGTGTGGGAAGACCAGGGGCAAAGGGGGAAGGTATGGGACAAGGTTTGGGTGAGGGCCCCGGAGGCTCTGGCTGCCCCCCGCTGGCCCGCCCGGCCCCCCATATCCTGTGTCAGCAGGAAATTCCAGAAAACAGTGGTATCAGAGGGACCCTAGGAGGTGGTGGCACTCTGAACCCAGCCCCAGAATCCAGTATCTTCAAAGCCACCATGGGCCCCGTCCTGCCCCAGCTCTGGACAGCCAGGCCCTGGGCGTGCATGTGTGTGCGTACACATGGCCCGGCTTGCCTCTGTGTGCACTTGCATGTTGGGGTGGCAGATGTTGGAGGCTGCACAGCCAGATGGGCAAACCTGTGCAGGAACCTGGGCAGCCAGGCAGGGGTATGGGAGCCAGGCTGGGGCAGAGACCTGGTAACTTCACAAGGCTGAACGGCAGTTTTGTGGCCCAGCTTCTTTTGGAAATGATGTGCAAAGCCTAGTTAATCCAGCAGACAGGTCTTGGTGACTCCTGGGTGAGCTGAGAGGGGCCAGGGGTCAGGAGGGTACTCAGGGGCCAGCAGGACAGGGGTACCTACTGAGCAGACCCCATGCCCGTCCTCCCCATGGCCTTTGTGAGGACTGGAGCTTCCTTTAAACCCAGGCAGCTGCTGACCACAGGCCTGCCTGGCCCTGGCATGTGGGGGTAGGGAGTCCAGGCAATGGACATCCTTACGGCAGGGTCTGCTTGGCCCAGTGTCAACAAGGGGCAGAGGGCAGCGAGGCTGGTGCTGCGTGTGGCTGTGCCCTAATTTATAACTTAGCCCTCACCTTCCTCCCCTAACTAAATTATTTTTGGCTTTCCCGGTGGCCTTGGGGTCTTATGCTGACTTTATGAGGCAGATGGGGCTCAGCTTCCAGGTGGCACTAAGGAGCAGAATCGGGGAGCTGGGGGTGGGGCATGAGGGTGGCAGGCTCAGCCAGTCAGGCCTAGGGGGCTCCTGGTGAGCCACTGCCCAGCTTCCAGGACCCAGCCCACCTCTGCCCTTATATTTGCCCCTCATCCCATAGTAGCATCCCTTGGACTGTGGAGTCAGACACTTTTCAATTTGATTCCCAGATATGAAGGGCCTGAGCTGTCAGCTGGGGACATGAGTATCTGATACAGCCATTCGCCCGTTTTGGCGAAGACTCTGCTAGCACAGAAGCCACACCCTCTCTAAGGCTACACCCTCTCTAAGGCTACACCCTCTCTAAGGCTACACCCTCACTAGAGGCCACACCCCCTCTAAGCCACACTCTCACTAGAGGCCACACCCCCTCTAAGGCCACACCCTCACTAGAGGCCACACCCCCTCTAAGCCACACTCTCACTAGGGTTTACACCCTCTCTTGAGGCCACACCTCCTCTAAGGCCACACCCTCACTAGAGACCACACCTCCTCCAAGGCCACACCCTCACTAGAGGCCACACCCCCTCTAAGCCACACTCT